GTTGAGTTCAGAGAATCAAAACATTCCACAGAAAGACAATGTCATAAGTGACAGGTTTTATACTCTTTGATTTTGGTATAGCAGTTGAATCTCCAGGAGACACTCGGACACGGTCCCTGGTTTCCTTCCTGCCCACTGACACATGACACTGATGCATTCGATAGAACCTGGTTCTTATTTGGTACACACTGGCGGTGACACTGGCAACTGCTTTTTGTTGGTTCAGCTTAGACTGAATGATCGAAGGGAGAGTATAGAGGCTCTGCAGTTGGGTCACAAATCTCCCAGCAACCGCTGCTGGCGCCGTCTCAGAGGTACTTTTTGAGAAACTGGCTGTGTGCATGTAACAGTTAAGAGGAGGAAATTCGTACTACTGTACTGGATGTGCATTCAGTAATGATGTGAGCAGACACGAATGGTCTGTGAAGGTAGATTTGTTTCCAAATTTAGCTACCAGTGCTGGTCTCTTCCTGTAGGAGTGTGAGTGTGGGAGAAGTTGACTGAGGTGAAGTCAGCGAATGGCAGAGTTCTGATGCTGTTAGCTAATTCAATCAGACAGTGAGGGCTTGTTGATCAGATAAAAGCTACATCCCAGTTCAGGAGCTGCAACCTTCGAGGAATCGGCCTCCTGAGACTGTCCCTCATTCCAAATTGCATTACTTTCGTTCTACTCTCAGCACATAGTGCAGTTGTTCTTACAAAGTATGTACTGTTGCATGCAGTGGGCATGCGATTGGGAGTCATCATAATATAGTGCCTTAAGCTTTAGCTGTTTTGCTCATATATCCGGTGCATCTGTAGTGCGACACGATCACGACTTGTGACATACATGGAGCATCGTATGCTCTGCTGAGGATTGTGGGTCAGATAAGTGTGCTGGCTTGACTTATTAAATAGTTTTCTGGCACACTATATAGTTTGGTAGTACAGATATTGAAATCGGAGGCTGAGATTGAGATCTTATCTTCCTGCCTTCATAGTGCATTCAGGTTTTTTCCTTGTCAAGTTCTGGGGATTTAAAACAGTTTCGCCACAGGGACTACTCTGTGGTTGTTCAGGAGGTGGACAAAGTGATTAATACAAAGCAGCACTGATTCCATAAACTGTCCATGAAGGATGGAAGCAGCTGAAGAAGATGCCTCGAGTTTGGAATTTGGTCACTATATTGGCAATATGGTGGTACAGCATCAACTTATCAGTCACAACATGCCCTACTTCATCGCTTATTTTCCTCTAAAACGGACAACAATTTAAAAAATGGACACCATGCTGTATTGATGGAGAGTTTAAACTACCGACTGAGACCATAAACTCATAAGGAAAATGTTTACTGAAATAACATATCAGGTAAGAAGTCATTTTCTCATAAATTTCTATACAATCTGACTTCTGTTTGAAACCAGAGGAGTCGCCCCCTGCTGGCAAAGTCAAGTCTGCATTGCTGTTACTTTGCAGACCTGGAGGTTAAATCCATCTTTTACATACAGTCTAGGAGGCACAGTCATATCAATAAGGTCACACTGTATTTCCTAATTTTTTTTTAAAATTTGGTGAAGACTGCTTGAAGAATGCACCAGTAATTTAACAGCAGACTAAAATGCTTTAAAATTGTCTCAGTTTAAAGGTTTCAAGCCAGTTGCACTTCTAAACCACACCCAGATATACCCTTAAGCCTTGATTATACTACCCTGTGGACATGCACACGGACATGGAGTTGTTATTGCACTACTTTCTGGTCCACCTGGAGGACCTTAACCCTGTACATGCGCAGTAGATTAGCGTCTATGTGCGAGGTACATGCACACTACTGCTCTTGTAAGATAGCAGCCGTGCAGACACAACTTTTGGCGTCCCATTGGCAAACTTTTGGTTTGTAAAACAAGAGCTTCACCAACAGAAAGCTGCACTTGAAGGTGCCTTTAAAACAGGGCAGGCTTGAAATGCAAACTTTAAAAGGACGCAGCCCCTAGAAATGGGATGTAGCAAGTCATGTCACTCAGTGTCATCAAAACATCACATCAGGCAACTAATAGGTCATTTTTGGACAAAATCCAGCACATAAAATCAAAACGTTCTTAAGAAATACAATCAGATATTCACAGCCAGTGTTGCCAAAAACTAGTGACCTCCAATATGGCTGCCACAGGGTGCGTTTCATGGCGTGAAAGCCCTCTATACAGGAGACACTGACTGTGGTGGCGAAAAGGTCTTGGTAAAAGGCTCTCCCTGCGACATGGTGGGAGATTCCAGCTCGCCCTCAACGTCTACATGGCTCAGCAGAGACCTAAACACCGGCCCTCTAACGGGCTCTCACCACACAAGCTAAATAAACAAGCTAATAGAAAAAAAACAAACAAACAAAACGGGGATAAAATCGCTTCCAAACAAACTAACCTGGCTCTCGACCTCACAGATCACCGGGAGAGAGACAGTGAAACCAAACAGCTGCGAAAGAAAGAAAACAACAGGACAACTAAAACAAACAAAAACCAGGGAAAAAAAAAAAAAAGAGAAATAAAACTGAGGAAAAGAAAGTAAACATTCACTTTGGTGTGCAGGCACGCATGTGGGCTAATACACATGCATGTATACACACACACATACAGACACACACAGCCAGAGGTACAGTGAACAAAAGTGCTTCAAGTTGGGGAAGTAAAAGAACTAACCCAGTAGAAATACGTATAAAACCTTAAATATGTTACTTTATGTACAAAAACTGTAACACGGGCCAATATCTCAGCTGTTTATGTATTTATATTTTCAAGTAGGTATCACTGCTAACTATTAAGGGTTTGCATTGTCATAGTTTTTAGGATAAAAGGTCGTGTGATCTGACTGACCTTGCCGGCAAAGTAATCAATCACTGCTGATTTTTAAATCTCTCCCATCCCACCCTGCCCCACCTTGACCTGCTGCCATCTTTTTAATCCTTCCAATAAAAAGTCCAACAAGCCCCGGGCGTCCCGCATATCTAAACCTCTTCCTCTGAGAAATAATATACTGAATATCCATCTGCTTTTGCACCTCTAAATCTCAACATAGAAAATATATGCATGTATGTATACTAAGTCTCTGGAAAAACAAAACAAAACAAAAAAAAAAACAGGGCAGAAGTCTTTGAGGATTTTGGTGAAGAATGTGATTTTCGAGGGCCACTTTGAACCAGGAGGGGAAGACACATCGGTTCGCATGAAGGTTTTTTTTTCCGGAGTTATGCACTGCACAACAGAAAAAAAAGAGAAGAAGGGGAGGCCGTTCATGTTTTGAAGAGGCACAAGATTCATACGGCTTAGAGGCAAATCCACAAAGAGACAATTCATACGCTCTGAGAGGGAGAGACATAAAGTGCAAAGGACCTACAAGAGTGGGAAGAAATGGCGGGAAGAAACGGCGGGAAGAAATGGCGGGATTTCTAGGATAGCAGCAAAGAATCACAAACTACTTAAACTGAGAGGAAACACAGACGCTGCTGATGTAGTTTAAATAAAATCAAACCAAATTACCTAGCAGCATCTAACAGACAGCTGCTAAACGCATTACAGAGACGACGAAACCCTCAAACCGTCCTCCAGCTTTCTTCCAACAATCATCCGTGAGAAGGCCATTAAAAAACAGACGACAAACTTTCTTCCTTTGCCTCTAAACCGATGTGAACCAAAGGCCTCTGCAAAGTGCAAACGAAGTAGCGTCGTTCAAGTATGCCACTGTGTAATGCGTGACCACACAATGCATATATACACACAGTAATATGCATATATACATGTGCATGACAGCAAATATATATTTATATATATATATATATATATAGAAACCATGTTCCAATATCTACGTACTACGAACATTTTCATAGTATTTATGGATATGTAATCATAACATGTGTATTTATATTCATATGTGTCTCTTACTGTGTCGTTACTAGACAATGGGATAATACAGCCTGCCATAATGTTTTATGACATGTGGACACTGACGTAAGGTTCCCCAGTCTAGAAACTATTCCTATTCCTCTTCGTGTCTTTTCCACTTATGGTACTGCTGCAAAATGGGACCAGCCACAGTCGCAATTAGCCAAACACTACAAATATTTATATATCTGTAAATTCATAATTATATATATATGTATATTATGTATATATCCATTTATGTCAAACAAATACTAGGTGCTGCTTTCGATGCTTTTTTTTGGGTGCCGAAAAGTACCAGAAGGAGAGGGGGACATAAAGAAAATTCACAAGAAAGAAAAAAAAAAGACAAAAACAGAGGAAAATATCAGGTATAAAATCCCATATTAATGCAATCTCATCCTTTGCCACTTAAAAAAAACAACAAACAAACAAAAAAACAACATGCTGCTACATATTTGTAACTACAATAAACTCCCTTTCCCCTCTGCTCCTCACCCATCCCTGATTGCTCATTTGGACATTAGCAAAGAAAAGCATGCTCAGCTATAGGCAGAGATACACCAAGCCAAAAATAAACAAACAAAGAAAATCAACAACAAACAAAACATGACAGACTCGACGGGGACATAAAATGCTAACCAGTAACATCCATCTGCCATCAAACCAAAACCTTACCAAACCCAGAAGTTAAAACTAGAGCAAATAAACAAGACATTAAAATAATCATCAAAGTCTTCCGTCTCGCCGGCTGAGCGAAGTAACGAAAACAACGAAATGTTCTTTCAGTGAAGTCTCTCTCCGTTCGCATAGTGGTCGCCACATCACCACAATCACTTGTAAGCGTGGTTCGGTGGGGCGGAGGGGTGAGAGTGGGGTGGAGGTCGGGGGGGAGGGCTCGAACCCAAAAGCTCCCAACGCACAATCTTCAAAGTGACGACGGGACGCCTGTGACGTGACTTTTGCAAGAGTTGCTCCATTTCCTGTTTTTACGTCTGTTCACGATGAGCAGGTGGGTGTGTGCACGTGAAGGAGGCGGAGGGGGGAGTGGGTGGAGGTTCGTTTTCTTTTTTTAAAGGGGAGTCGGGGTGGTGGTGGTGGTGGTGGGGTGGTCGATGGTTGTCGCTCCACGCAGTTCAATAAAGAGCATTCCAAGGTCAGAAAAAAAAACATGGTGCGCGGGCGGAGCGTCACTCCCATCCGTTATCCTTGATCATGTGAGCCAGCTCGATGATGAACTTTCCCTCTTTGTACTTTTGACTGCTCTCAAACGCGTGCTCCTGAAAAAACACAAAGGAAGAGGGAAAAACATTAGCGTCCGACTGATACTGATGTTAAAACTGAAGAACAGTATTCATCTGATAACAACGCACAGGCCGACATTCACATGAAACGACGAAAATGTGATGCATGGTTCGATCAAAAAGTTCCAAGACTGCTTGTGTTACATTTGTGAGCAAGAACTTCCACGAGTCAGGAGACCATCACTGTAGGAGCCTAAATCTATTTCTTTGATTCTGGATTTGGTTCTTATTTTACCACGATTATTTCTATTTGGTTTAGATTTTTTGTTCAACAGTAACTTTGATATAGATTATGATTAACATTTTTATTTTGCTGAATTTATCTGTTATTTGGTTAAATGTTGTTAATCATATTTTTGGATATTTGAATTCTGTGTTAGTGTGGTCTTTTGGTTTATTGATTTGTTTTTGATATTTTGGTTCGCTGTATTAGGGTCCCTTAAATTTGCAAGGGATCCTGGGAAAATGAATGATGGCATGGAGCCAAACAGTTTTTTGACTGCTCATACTTTTGTATCCTCGTTTGCTTTATGTTTTTCCGTCTGTAAATTTTATTTATTTATTTTTTTGTGAACTAAAGAATCCTATCTAAACAGCAACTTGGTGTCAGTTGGATTTTATCTTTGGAGTACACCCAGCAAAGCATTCAATGTGGGCATTTGGAAAGCTACGGGGAAAAAAGTTAAACTGGGCTTCATCAACTTTAGACCATATAATCACATTATCAACACCAGGACCTGGTACAACTTTCTGTGCTGTGATCCTTTCAGAATAAAATCACCAGGTTTATATGATTTGTTACGTCTGCAAATACTTTCAATCATTATTTTTAATTCATTTAGGCTAGTGAGGCTAGCAGGTGGAGTGCACTGTGGTCCATTTAGTTCATCTAGACATAAAGAAAAACCATCAGTTAATTGGTTTAAGAGCAGGTCTACAAATCTGATAACAACAGAAAATTCTACACAAAGAGGCTTTAATGTTTCAAACTGACTTACGTTTACAGCAGCTGCAAAAAAAAAAAAAATCTAATTTCAAGGTCCACTTATGAGCTTTTTCTTTTTCAAACACACTTTGCTGTCTTCCACAACAACTAGGATCATCGACTGTTACGAAACCCCAAAAACACAAGTCTCTGTGACAACCAAGCAAACTCAGGTCACCGAGAAAGACTGTGAGATGTGGCTGAAAGCTGGTAAATCCAACCTTGAGTTCAGATTGTTGTTAAACTTTTATTCAATTGACAAATAGTTTTCAATCCCTCACCTCCACTCAACTGAAAACTAGACAATCACATAAAGTTAGAAAGGAACGAGGTTGAAATATTTCTGTGTTTATGACTGACAGCGAAACTGTATTTTTATGTGTCTGAGGTCAACAAGCGATTGTATCATTTCTCCCACATGGAGAACCTTGACTGTCTGATGTTTTCAGACTGAGAGATGTTGCTGCCGTCTTAAAAGGTGTTTGAGATGCTTTTAAGTAAATTATGGAGGAAACCTACTGCGGAGGAGGCATACATCGTGTGGAAGAAGTATGCAACACAAACACAACGAGGCCGTATAGACGTACAGTATATTCATGTAGCCTCATTATTATCTGTGAAGAGCAGGATTTCAGCAGAGAGAAAAACACGAGAACAGACAAACAGTTTCCCCTAGCGACCAAATCACCTCTTTCAAACGTCTTAACTTCCACACTGACAGTACATCTCATTAAGTGCTGTATGATTTCCGGCGTATGTCGCAGTCCTGCTGAGTTTCGGGAGACTCGTGTGGGTCTTTGTTGTTATTTGCTCAGGCTGCTTTGCCTTGTAAACCAGCCCTGCTTTCCTTTTCTTTGCTCGCGGCGCCTTTCTGACAATCTCTAATTGTTTTTGTCACTAAAGGAGCAGCTTTAAGTGAGTTCCTGTCCCTATACTTTGTTCAGTTATTTTACACCCTTCCAGTCTTTTCAGACAATTACTGGGACAAGCCTCTTCAAAATGGCCTGACATTTAATCACTGTAGACTCTCAGAGGTACCAGTCTGGCTGTCTGCAGCCAACCTTTTCGGCACTGTAATTATCTTGCACGCTAGGATACCGCACAGCGCTCAATCTCTGAGCCCCAAAACAAACGTGAGCAAAAACACTGTCACCATGACCGTAATGAGCAACGCTTTAATGAGAGCGACTTTGCTCTTTTGACCCGTAATGGCGTAATTTGTCCCCTGCAGAAGAAGGAAAAACCACACGGTTGCGCAACAAAGTGGGAGCGGACTGAGGTCATGCGTCGTGAAAGATGGGGAAAGTCAGAGGTTTCAGGAGCGGCTGACTTACATATTTCCAGCCCAGGGTGGTTTTACAGTTTTCACAGTAGATATCAGCCACAGCATGTAAACCTGTGAGGAGAACCCGCTCCTCAGCTGGCCCGCAGCCGACATTCACCCTGTAAACAAGACAGCAAGCGGAGAAAAGGTCACGGAGGTCAAGGAGGTAAGAGCAGCTTTAAAGTAATCATTAATCAGAGAACAAAATAGGCTTTTCCTCAAAGTCACTTTATTTTACATGGCAAAACAGTGAACTTTCCCCACTGTAGGATCAATAAAGTTTGTCCTTATCTTTCAAAAATGAGAAAACTAAGCTGTTTACTAGAATCCGTTAAATGCAATGAAAATCTGCACTCATATAACTTCTCGGTTGCATTGCAGGCTGTGATTAGAAGATGAGAACAGTAAAATGTCTTTAATATGTGGAGCTACCACTTTTCTAGTATTTGTGGGCACTTGGAAAAATGTTGTACACGTTGAATCCAGGTTTTTACAATGCTTAAAATGTAATTAAAGAACTTCCACTTTTGTTGTTTTTTTGTTTTCTTTTTAATGATTGATGGCGTTATAACTGTGCCACACAGCACAGAAGACATGTCTGAGTTCTCCTTACTTCTGGCCATGGTTGTGTGGACTTTATACTGCAGTGAAAAATGAGCCAAGAAAGTGCTCGGGGTTCAGAAGGTCGAGTCCTTTTTCATGATCGCTCAAAAGTTTCTCCAATGAAAACAGCCCAGAAAGAGGTTCTATGGGAACAGCTCTTGCGGTTAAAACATGCGCAAATGTTCAGGTCGCTCTAAAACAGAATTTAAACTGTGGGAAATATATTTGTCCATGTAGGAACTATTAGGCTTTTACATATTTTTTATCTTCTTGCATACCTGAAACTTCAAAAACACACTGTCGGCACGCAAAGTTGGTATTTTGGAGATAGATTTTCATCCCTCTAAACAGCTGGCGCTAACTCTTAGATGATGAGCATTTCCCAAAACGAAAACACAACACCACAGATTAACCAAAAACTTCCTTTCTTACGAACCATTACTCCACTCCTCCCTGCTGCTGCTGAACAGCTTCTCAGTGACATTTTAATTAGTTGTCACGACAAATAAACTCATTGAACTTCTTTAGAAACAATCACTGCATGTAAACAAACTAGCTGTGGTCAAAACTTTCACTTTGCACCACGCGCGGCTGTTTTTAGCCCAAATGTCTTTTTACCTGCAAAACACCACACGCATTGTTCACAGGCTGCCTTCACACAGTTTGAAATGATTTGTTCAGACTCTGGAGGCCGTGGAGGGCTTCTTTCATTCAATTCGCCGTGGCAGGTGAGAACAATGTAATCCAGCAGGGTCGGGTGGCACAAAGCCGTAGCACACCGACACCTAAAAATGTCTCGGGGCCTCTGGAGGAGCCGGGTCGTCTGTGTGGTTCATTAAGACTGAGAGCCCAGGCCCGAAAACCAACCAAGCAAGAAACAAACCGCTAAACGTTGTTCTCGGGTTTTAAAGAGATGGATGTAAACCAGACGCTTCTGCAGCAGGGAACCAAATTCACAGTCGACGGAGTAGCACGAACAAGCCCATCGCATCTGTTTACCAGCAAGCGATGATTTGGTGCTTTTTTTTTTTCCAGGTCAGAAGACGTACAAATGAAAAGCTTTAAAAACTGCACTTGAATTTCCACGACTGCATTTGAAAGTCTCATTAAGTCCTGATTTATACATAGTGTGAGATCTGTCTGTTGAACTGCAAACCAGCAAATCTGTGCTCGTTCGTTTGCAGCTCCTTTGCTTTGAGTGTTTCTGCCTAAAATGTTGGGAGTGAACATTACTTTCTAGATGTAGGTAGGGGCCATCGCAAGGAGCTGGTTGAGTTTGCATGCAGTGAGATACCAATTCGTTCTCCCAGAGGATGAAACTTTACATGCATGTCATGCTAACAACCTATAAACGCAGGTGTATTGGTGGAGCTGCAACAGTTATTCAATAAATCAATCAGCTTAATCAGCAACTCTTTTGATAATTAAATAATCAGTTTAAGGCATTTCTTTGAACAAAAAAAAATCTCTGATTGCAGCATCTTGAATGTGAACATTTTCTGCTTTCTTGCCTCCTCTGTGACATTAAACAGAAGATCTTTGAGTTGTAGACAGGTTGAGGAAATGTTTTTTTGACATTTTATAGACAGAACAATTAATCAGTTCGTTGAGGAAAATGGTAATAATTGTGAGCATGCTGGCAGTGGAAGGCAGGTGTCGTCCTCTAACAGGACACTGAATCCCAAACTTTCCCCACAATGTAAGTCTATGTTGTGCCGTCTGTGCATTAGAGTATATCGGGGGTATCATGACACCCCGAGTGGGCAACAATCAGCCCTGAGGAAACGATATCGGTCAACGCCGTGCAGCGTTCTGTCCTGAATTCTGACTTATATGCGCAGCGACAGTAAACAGCTGCACCGTGTTAACAAAAGCACGATGTCAGTGGATGGGATCGGTAAAAAACCCAGCAGTAGTTTGAGGTGAAGGACTGAACTCACTGTGAACATGAGTTACTTCACTCTCTCCTGCAAGTGAGCTATTTACGAGTCCACGTGACTGATTTATAAGGTCACATCACATGCAAATTACACGATGGTGAAAACTGAACAAACAAGAGCAACACAGGTTTACAGAACAGGTGAGGTGAGTTTCAGGTGTGATACTTACACTGAGTTAAACAGGTAGGCTCTTCCTTGACTGCCTTGAAATGACTGAAAACAGAGAAAAGAGAAAGAAAAAAAAAAATCACGTAAGTTGACATTAAAGAGCTGCCGAGTGCAGGAATGTCAGCAACGGATGGCCCCGGGTGCTTTTCTACCGCTAACTGCTGCTCATACTTGTTCTTCCACCTCGTCAAGGTTCCCACACACACATTTAGCTGCAGGTAAGAAATAAGAAGAGCCGAAGCCGGAGCAGATAAACATCAGAGTCTGTCATCATCGCTTCGGCTTTGATGACAGCACAGATGTTTCTTGAGAACTGAACTAATCCGTTACGTCAGACACACAAAACACGAGATCAACCTTCACATTCATGACCGACACTTTGTTTTCTGCAGTGTTCGATGGAAAATCGTGTAAAATGCTGTTAGCACTTAAAAGCAGTCAAAATACATGTGGAAAATTTATGGGCTGTGAAGACATAGCTTGAAGTGTGCGCTGAATGAAGTCACTTGCCAAAAATCCATTAGATTACATCAAATCTACGCGAAAATGTAATAAAAGTCACATTTTTTCCACGAGTTTTACCAACAGCAACCTCAAGAGTGTTGTTGAGACGCGGCGCTACAGATATTTAGTGCGTGAGCAGAACAACAAAGCAGCTTTATAGCAGCTGATAGAAAACTTTGAAGTCTGAGCAATTCTGAGTAAATTGTCAATAAAAGCTCAGCCAGAGAGACAGTTTAATGGGAAAGCATTTTAACTGTACAGACACCAACAGCTGATCACAGCTGATTTAATTATTAAAAACAATCATCTCCGATTGAATCAGGAGTCAAATTAACATGAAAAGCCACAAAATCACCATTAAGAGAGGCAAAACCACCACACAAAAACATGAAATCACCACAAAAAGATGCAAAATAACAAATAATGCACAATCGCTATGAATAGATGTGAAACCATGACCAAAAAGAAACACACAAAATCACCACATAAAGATGCAAAACCACCACAAAAGGAAGCAAAATTACTGTGAAAAGTTGGGAAATCTACGCGACAAGATGCCACATCACAAAAAAAGACACAGCCACCACAAACAGAAGAAAAATAAACACGAAAACATGTAAAACCTCAACAAAAATAGACAAAGTCACCACTAAAAGACACAAAATCACCACAAATAATGCAAAAATCACTATCAATAGATGCAAAACCATTACAAAAAATGCACAATCTTTGCAAACAGATGGAAAACCATGACAAAAACGAAACGTGAAATCACCACATAAAGATGCTAAATCAACAGGAAAGGAAGCAAAAATCCCCACAAAAAGACACCATCACCACAAACCGAAGCAAAATCCACACAAAAAGATGCAAAACCATTACAAAAAACCCCCAAAATCACCACATTAAGATGCAAAATCAACACGAAAAGATGCAAAATTGCTGCAAGTGAAGTAAAGTGGAATCTAAATATTCAAAAAATTAACAAAAAATTAGGTTCTGAAGTAAGGAAGACGTTTCTCTAAACTCTAAACAGTCTCTAAGCATCACAACAATAGATTTCTCAGGTTGACTCGCCTTAATATGTATTTATTATATATTGATTATGTATTTATGTAATTAATTATGTAACGATGATGAACACAGGAGGTTAACTAAAACCTGGCCGGGTAAACATCCTGCGGCTGAGTCTCTTCATTACGTCGCTGTATAATAATGTAAACAGAGCAGCGAAGCCGTCACAGTGGGTGACGACAGAGCAGACAGGCCCCAATCGGCTTTGCTTTTTCCATTGCAAATGAGTGCGGCGGATACATTTGTAGCTGCGGTTGAGGGCGCTGAGCTAATACCGGCTAATAGGAGCAGCAGCTGCTGACCACAGCCGCCACCACACAGGCTCAGGGGACGAGTCCTAACTGCCCTGCATTAGTCAAAACCAGGAGACTCGCAGCTCCGCTAACGGCCGATTCTCTGCTCCGCTCTGTAGGTGTCGACGTCTCACTGCGACATCCTCCGGTTCGCCGTTTGAAGTGAAATCTACACACACATGCGAGTCCGGAGCAGCAAGACGTGTGACCTTTAGCTGCGAGGGGGAACTGGGTCGGTCCCTGTGGAGGCAACAACAAGTTCTCCTGACAGCGCGGAGGCCGGGGAGGGTTTCTGAGAGACCGGAGCTGGGTGTCGTAGACGGGCTCAGACTTCAACTTAACCACCAGCAAAAAGGTCTCGCTCTGTTCCGACAACTATGAAAGAAAAAACAGACACATGTCTCGAGCATTCCAGCTTTCACCCAAAAACAAACAGAAAAACTACATTTGAGACAAGACATAAGCTATGAAGCTGCTGATTGTGTCTTCATTTTAGATTAACAACGACTCGTTGAGCAGGCAACACGGCGCTACCACAATGCACTGCACAGCTGCATTAGAAGAATCAACAGGAAGACACGCAAAATCCACACAAAAGAAGCAGAAATGACCAAAAAGAGATGCAAAGTCTTCATGAAATGATGCAAAATCACCACAAAGAGGAGCAAAATCATGACAAAAGAGGCAAAATCACCATGAAAACAAGGCTCAGAATACCTGCACGGATGACACAACATGATGAAAAATCAGCACAAAATGCCGCAAAATAACAACTGAAAGAGGCAAAGTCAATCCAAAAAGATGCAAAATCACCACTCAGACTCAAAATTAGAACAAAAAGCCGCAAAGACACCACAAAAAGAAAAACTTGCCACAGAATCATACAGAATCCTCACCAAAGACACAAAATCCTCACAAAGAGGCAAAATTACTACAAAAAAATGTGAAATCATCACAAAAAGAGGCAAAAATCACCAAAAAAGGGACAAAATCACAACAAAAAGATGCAAAATCGCCACGAAGACTCAAAATTACAACAAAAAGACACAAAGACAACAAGAGAAGATGCAAAATTACTACAATATGATGCAAAATCACCACGACAAGATGAAAACTCACCACAAAGACACAAAATCATAACAAAAGAGGCACGATCACGATGAAAACAGGGCTCAGAATTCCTTCAAGGACGACAAAACATGATGCAAAATCACTGCGAAAAGAGGCAACATCACTACAAAAAGATGCCAAATGCCACAGAGTGACGCAAAATCCCCACAAAGAGGCAAAATCACAACAAAAAGAGGAAAAATTACTACAAAAAACATGTTAAAACCATCACAAAAAGAGGCAAAGGACTCCGAATACCTGCACAGATGATGCTTGAATGTTGCACAGAAACATATCAAATCATTGTATGTGAATATACAGGCAGGTTAAATGAAGTTTGGTCTAAACTGTGAAGCTTTAATCTGGGTTTGAGTCAGACAGCTCCCTGCCTGAGAGAATTTCTTTGTTCTAAAAAGTTCTGCAAAGTCCTCCTAAGGTTTTCAGCGGGAACATTTCTTTTAGTTTCAACTAAGATGTTCTGAAAATGTTTGGTGATAAGAGGCATAAACGAGACGCTCTGAAGTGATTCAAAATCGACCAGCTGATTCGCTGTCGATCACGCAGCTACAACATTAGCATTAGAAAATCCTGAAAATACTGTGAAATAAAAATAAACTGGGATCATGTTTTGTGAATGCAGACAGCAGCTTCACAGCTCGACAACCCTCCAGACTCACAACAATCCTATTAGACGGCCAGACTGGATCCTGCAGGGATTGTCTTCGAAAAAAAAAATTTAAGAATCAGATGCAGGCTGGATGAACTCCCACAGGTTTATTTTTTTTTTTTTCTTCTTTTTCACTGCTTAATAAAACATGAGCCGACGGGAGCGTGTGGTTACCGAGCTCATTCCCTTAAGCTGCTGCAATTGCACTTGTTTTAAGAAAACGCTTGTTCCCAAGAAATGAATTCTATGAAGAAGCAAATCTCAAAATCCCTGAATCCTCTTGACCACACGGGACTGAAGGGAACAATAGCTCGCGCTGAGAAATCCGCTCCTTCAGCCAAACACACCAAAACACAAATCCACCCCGAGAGGCCGAAAACGCTGCCGAGAGCAGAGACGGCTGTGATATTCACCGATATTCAGCCGTGAAATGTGTTTCACAATAAATCGAGTTGTAAAAAAAGATTAACTCAAAGCCATTAACAAACCTGCTGAGGTCGACTTTTACCATCTGTTCCAACAGATGCCAACTGTTGGAGGGTTCAGCTCCAACTTAAACCTTCCCAATAAACCCAAAAGCTCTATTTAAATTCAGTTTAAAGACAGTATTTTGAGGGATTACTCATCTGATACTTCATACATGTTGGCTGACATTAAAGTAAATTAATTCTCTCACCTGAAAACACATCACGAGGTTTAAAAAGGCATGTTATTTTGAATTTTTTTTTTTAAAAAGCCAAAATTACACCATTTATCTGACACTGTAATAACAGCATCTGATTACCAACTTTCCCACAGTCCTTGAACTACTCATCCAGGATGCTCTGTTCCATCACTAAGCTTAAAATCATCATATTTCATTAAAATCACCTTCACCCACAGGTCTCATCTAAAAATTAGACAAAAAACAAACCATTTGCTTTAATCAGATTTTGTAAAAAAACAAAAAATTCTGCGCTTTTTGCTATAAATAATAAACTCTTTGTGGCTCAATTGCAACCAACAGTCAGGCACGAAAAATTCAGGAACTTTTCGGCTGAACTGCAGGCAGTGTTTCCACAGAGCGGACAGGAGACAAGGACGGAAACAAATTTAAAATAGTAAATTATCTATAATATGTAGAGTCACCTTTGTTTTTTTTGTTTTTTTTTAAACACCTGTGGCATCTTAGAAAAACTTTGGACATGTTTATTCCTGGTGTTTCCAACTTTTGTAAAAATCTAGAATGAAAGTTGTAAATAAAGTTTTTCCTCATTTACGGCATCATAAGTGCGTCATATAGCTTAAAAGACATTCTCAAGCTCTCTGTACTTCTAGTCATGTTTTTTTTGTTTCCAGAGAGGTGCAGGACTTTATATTGCAGTGAAACATGAGCTCACAGTGAGTAAACATGCAAC